TTGTTGGAGGAATAAAGCATAATTACCTAAGTTTGAGGCTGTCCGTGCTAGTGAACCACTCGAGTCGAATCCCTACAGTGACTCTGCCGTATACTTCACAGCAAGTCCCGCGTGACAGTCACCGACGACATCAGTCCAAGCCTTGTTCTACTTTGTCAAGTATTGCTTGTACGTTCGATTTAGTCTATAAAACCTGCAGCCAGAGGATATTTACTACGAAGCCATGGAAGAATGACGAGGATACACACACGTGAGTGGTACTTATCAAGCAGCCCTGAAGCTTGTGCAGGACCAAGAGTGGAGAGCGCCTTATCATAAGATCATGATCAAAACAAGACAGCAATACCTCCTGACAACGCGCTGCTTGTTCAAAATCCAAACGTTATTGGATAATGCCGTGACAGGGACAAGGTGCGGTATTGATGTATGACCTTAGATAGATCTTAATCCGGACGTGACCGGACCGCAAGTGATGGGCGCAGAAGAAACGAGCATTGACAGCATAGTCACGCACTTGGCGCCTTTGCTAGAAGGGCGCACCGAGGGACGAACAGGTGGCTATTGGCATTGCTCCAATGGAGTTCCAAACCGCGGAGCAAGAGAAAAAATGGCCCCAGGTATTCGGTTTGATGATAGGCGCGTCGAGTCGTAAACGCTGTGTGATTGTTCGACGACTCAAATGCCGGAGAAGGAGACCATCCACATTGTTCGTTGGGAACAGCTCCTTACAGCAAACAAGGTCGAATCAAGTACTACTACAAAAAGGTCAGGTAATACTTGGTGAGCGGGTAGTCCCAGCTGCAGAACAAGCAGAGATGGAAGCTGAATGGCCTCCGCAGAACAGGAGACTGTCAGAAAGGTTGGTCAAATGTGGCCGGTGACCGCCTCGGGTCCTATTCTGACCACCTACCGTGCCGTTCGCAAGGATGGCGCAGGAACTACCGTATAAAACGGCAAGAAAACAAGTAGCGGTTTACTTCAGATTCTACTGTCGTCGTCGTGGCGCCACCGCCGTTCGTCGTCACCTCCACTACCTCATCAATTATTCGATCTATTCTTATTGTATTATTACTCATTGACTGCTGTTACTAGTTTCATAAAGTTGTTAGTTTAGAGTTCTACTGTGACCACGAGAAAAAAAACAGGGGTACACACATACATCCTACAATTTTGACTAGACACGACAAGGAATAAATTTTGGCCCTCCAGGAAAACGGATTTCAAAAGATGGCATGAACCACGAAAAGGTCACGCAAGAAAGAAAAAAAGGGAAGGAAATCTGCATGCATGAAGAAATGTTAACAAAAATTCTGATATAAACGCATTCAGAGGTGTGACAACTATGACGTGGGCGACTAGTGTGGATCTCTCGGGGAGCCCATTGCATGTAAGAAAGGCGCTAAATGTGGGTAAAGAAGGTTAGTAAGATTACCGGAAGACTAATATATGAAGGAGCACATTTCATCCAATGACGTGTTGATCTACACCTTTATACGAATACGGACTCAACCCTACAGGCGGGGAACTCTTGAATGGCGCACTTGCTCAGTCCCAAAAAGACAGCAACCTGTCGCATGTTAGCGCCCTTAGAAGTAGGGCCAACGCTCTCCTGCTCGTGACGTCACACTCATAGTACTTGTATCCTTTTATGCTGTGTTGTACTGTATAATCGTTCCCTTTTTTGAAGATTTCGTTGCCTTAGTTGTTCTGTGTGTACCATAAGGGTTAAGTTGCTGTTTTATTGTCTTGTTCTAATCAGAGTGATTCGATATTACCACAAAACACAGCCACAAGATGAGGGAGAACATGTGCTTTATGCAAGCAGCAACAATAAGATCCTGTAGTCGTTAGTCAGCACATTACGAAGGATGAGAAACAAACAACGTAAACATTTATTAACCACCCTCTATGAGAGAAGAGTAAGCTCGCGCGCACAGCGGAGCGTGCTTTACGACTGCTTCTGCGGAGACTGTCAACAAAGACTAATTTATCTGTAAATCGACCAACAAGGGTAACAAATGCAACACAATCAAATAAGAGCATCCAATGGAATGGGAAAATACAAAGAACAGGAACGAAGAATTAACCAGACAGAGCTATCCACAGAAGGAGATCACTCCGGTGGAATATGGTATTGGTGGCCAGGGCTTCGCCCCCATGGCGGTAGTGGGATCGTAGATGCCGCTCGTGGACAGTACCTCGTCGACTCCTCGCTGTGCTCCTTGGTGAGTCATCTGAAAACATTAACATCTGATCGCCGCGCTGGTACAGCGACAGCGCGGCTTAAAAGTCCTAAGTGTTTGACGGACGAGCAGCAGGCCAGTCGGTGTCCGAATTTCAAAGTCCGTAGAAATTTTTCACCGATGTGCAAAGCGGAACACTTCTTATTATGAATAGAAATGCCATAGAGTGGCCCAAGCAGGCATTTCTTCCAATAGAACATTCAAGAAATGACTGGGTCGTTTCAGAGCTTTCCGCATACGTCACATAAATTTTAATGTCGTCTGCATAAATTCGTGTTTCAATAAAACTCGAGGTGTCTATGGAAGTTGGGAGTTCGATTGTAAATGTGAATAGAATGTAACCACAATATAAAGTTGTAAACATACTTCTATTGTTGTGTATCGTTATTCGCTTTGTTATACTATCTATTGCATAACTGCCTATTACCTCTTGTTTCCCACAACTCAATTTTCGCAAATACCAAAACAGATTTCCCGCGCGCGAAGCTGACGGCCAGAGCCCTATTTTGATTTGTGTTTATATGAATATCTTACTCTCTGTACTCGGCCTATCTCTGTAATCTCCACTTTCCCAGGGTCACAGATATAAATACCGGTCACATCTCCTAGAATGACTTTTTGGATCTATCTTTTCCGTCAGAGAATTCTGCTGATCAACTGCCCACTTCTGTGCTGCTACTTACCGAAGAAATAAAGTGTGAGTCACTATTCTCTACCGAGCCATAAGGAAGGGACTTTGTCCCTAGACATGTAAAAAGGGGATCCGAGACGAAAACCCAAAAAGAGGCAAAAGCACCGCGAACCCTTTACACAACAGTATTAATGGAACACAATACGGGTGATAGCACAGTGTCTTGAAGAATTCCACCGAAGTAAATAAAACGTTTAGTGGAGCTCTGACCATGCGATATCATTGCATAAATATCAGTGAGGTAAAGTCTGGACCGCTTAGCAGTTGCCCACTGATGCCAACTTTGGAGGTTTTGCAATTACGCTACTGGGAACTGATTGTCGAGAAAACATCAGCCTCGGACGGAACTCGAACCTGTAACTGTGCTTTCCGGGCACCGTTTTCTTCGAACTTATTCCACACCCACACTGCTTGCCTCACCTTGCTACTGGCTTTTATACCATAGCTTATTAGCCCTCACACGTACAAAGAGATGAGCCGGTCAGCCAATATCAGCATTAAACCGTTAAGCTGTATGCTCTACATGATCTAACTTGTTTTGACTTGATTCGTTAGTTGTTTGCTTGTTTTGACTGTCACATTGCGTACTGCAGCAAAATAACGGCAATTAACAAAATATCAAAACCAAACCTTGTATTTTGCCACCGTGGGTCACCTGTAACGCACTGTGCAAAACCAAAATTGTCAAAAAAGCCCCACAGTTATGGAACAAAGAATGAGTTTGGGAACCTTATCAACCTGTCCAGTCTCATACCCCTGATCGCACCACCTTAATTGAATTGTTTCTATCCTTGTGCCTAAGGAATACGAATACGATACGAATATTACTCCTCGTACACCAAAAAAACATTCGTAGGAGAATATGTAGGTGCCATGGCAACTGGAGTTGAGGCCTCGGCACTCGACGAATTTTTTAACTTCGGTTTACTTCTTATCTCTTTGGAAGGGCTAGTAGTTCCTCGGCCCTTCCTCCTCAGAGCAGCTGAGCCATAACCAAGATCTAACGATTGCAGGCCCGTTTAGGGTTCATAGAAGTGCAGTACAATGCAGTAATAGCGAAGAAAACTTGTTAATCCATCACGATTATTCACGGTGTCTAGAACACACGAACGACAACCCCACCACACCATCCCATTTACAAAATAAGAACGCTAAGTATCGATCGATATGGATCGCTTCACGTTGCCATATTACAGCGATCTGCCCCATTAGGTCTACGAACATCTCCCATCAAACTTGGACATGTCCAGGCATGCGCACCAACCTCTTCCAGAAAATACCCGTTTGAATTTGGTGCACAATTTAGATGTGCAGGTGAACACCGGCGAGCTCGGGCTGTTTGCCAATTTTTCTTGGCTCTCTCCCAACTTCACTGTACCCTGCAAAAGAAGATGGTTTGTTTTTTCACTATGATGTTCGTAAACAGAAGTAGTTCTCAAGGAATAGGATCCTACATCCTGTTGCTTGCATTATATCGATTTCCAATGAACTCTTACCCTGGCATTGGAAGCGGGCTCGGGCGTTGGGATGGAAACCTCACTCATAATAGGGATTCATTAATAACATATTAATTAGGCAAGGAATAGTCGAACTTGTTGCTTTTTGGAAAATGGTGCGCATGAGATGCACCTTTCGTTGCAAATGTGGCTAATAGACGTAGGAAAAAAACAACAGGCAGTGAAAGTTATTGATCGGTTTTACTTGCAGGTTATGATGTATCGACCCATCTAGTAGAACTGTTTTCAGTGATATTGTGGGATTGTTAAAAGGTTTCCGATGTCATAGCCTTGAAGGCCCGATAATTCCAGTTGTGTTCGTTTTTGTTTAATTAGGATTCTACATCGTTATATCGCCATTTGCTCGGCCGTTTCCCTAGTGTGGTGTTTTAGTCTCACGCGAGACTACGGACATGACTGCAGTGTTGACTGGTTAGTTGTGAACATTTCCTATCAAGCCTAATTTGTCTATTGATTTAGATGGTGATTTGAAGTTGTTCTTAATTTGAACCACGACAGTAACGACGCTTTTGTACTGTGTGGAATCCACAGCGTCAATCCTGCTCAACGATGGATCAGCATCTTGAGGTAGGTGCTGTTCACTTTGATTATCTATGATCTGTGGTATCGTTATGGGAGTAATTCATCATGCTAATCTCAGATATTCTTTATTTTGTGTTCGTGTTCCCCTGTTAAGGCAAGGAATATAGGAATTCTCGACCGTGTAGCAATTGTTAGAGAACCGAATCACCCAAGGCAATTCACTTGCAAAAAAAGTGGACAGCCAATAAGTTTAGAGTGTGGATAGAGGCTACGGGCAATAGCTGTAGAATTCGGACCCTTCAAAAGCATATTGTAAGTGTAAGCTTCGTAATTCTCTTATTGAGTTTGTAAATACTCTAGTATTGTGCCTCATGAAAGTTCTATCTACTTACCTTCAACAGTGCGCAGAGTCAAACTAAAGTCATCGCCTAGCCGCTTCTGAATTAGAGGAGATGACCGGCAAGCAGGGACAGTAATAAAACATTTTAGGGTATTGATCAGAGAGGAGGTGCATGTCAAGTGCTTGCTAATGCTATCCGGTCGAGTTGCTTAAATCTGGGCATATATCCAGATTATTGCCACGACATCCCACGTCTTGCAATCTTTTCATGACCGGATTCTTTCTGGTGTAGCATGCTGACGGTGTAGGAAAAACCGAGATTTTGAATCGCTGATAGGCCTCGACTATTAGTGTCTTTAATATTGATAATTTTTATGTGGATATTGAAACCTCTCCGAGGCAAGAGGTCGGCGTTGCGCCAACTGTAAAGCAGCTTACTCGGAATTCGATGCCTCCACCCTCAGCCGATTGGACCAATCAATTCAGTCCAAGTGGAGTGGTGAGTCTTTTTGAAGCATTTGTGACAATAAGGAGTCACTCCTGTATCTTGACATAACTTCACAGATTATGCTCTGCTTCAGGACGAATATCATCCTTTTGTGGAGGCTTTGCTGCCGTATGTGAAAGATTTTTCTTATGTGTGGTTCAATTTACAAGCTGCAAAACGGCGTTATTTCAAAAGGCATGAAAAACGGATGACTCTTGAAGAAGAAACGGGTGTTAAAGATGAACTCATGGTAATTCCATGTTTGCAGCCCTGTTACTTCATTTTCGTTTCTCTCAAATCAACAGCTTAATATAATTTATAGGATTTCCAACTTCTAGTTGTATTAGGTTGTTGCAGTCAATGTAAACATTTTGTTGTGACTCAAAGATGTACCCCTAATCCATTGATTCGCAGAACGAACGAGCCGAATTAAAACAAAAGTGGGCAGCGCGGTTGTTGGGGAAGCTCAGGAAAGATATACAGCCTGAATACAGGAATGATTTCGTTTCTTCGGTACGGTTGATTCTCATCTTTCTCGTGTAAAAATTATTGGTTCATTTTCTTCCAGGTTACGGGACAACAACCAGCTGTGTGCGTTTTGTCTAATCCTGACCAGAAAGGAAAAATGCGGCGCATTGATTGTTTAAGACAGGCCGATAAAGTGTGGCGGTTAGACTTGGTCATGGTCATTCTTTTCAAGGTAAGCCATCAATAAATCATGAGTGACTTCTCCATTTCCTACGGCAACCCTTATCACAGCGAAGGAGATGGGAAATAGTATCGCATGATTATTCATATATTAGCAAGGAAATTGAATTTTTGTTCATCTTGTCGTACTCTTTAGCAATCAACTTTATAGGGAATCCCACTAGAAAGTACGGACAGCGAGCGATTGGAAAAGTGTGCCGAATGTGTGTTCCCTGCAGTCTGTGTGAACCCATACCACATTTCCATAGCAGTTCGCGAATTGGACCTATTTCTGGCTAATTTCATTCGCACTGGTAACCCAGACGAAAAAGATGGACATGACGAGAAAATGGAAGATAAGCAGAAAGGTATCTATTGAGTTTTCTCTTCACATCATTATCGAACTCTTGATTGTAACAGTTTCTTGCCTAAATACTGGGTTACATCGTACCATGGATCACTACTTACCGAAAGTCCAATTACCGATGCAATCGAGATGTAAGAGACGAAGTACATTTTCTCTTCCTTCACCCATACATCAGGGAGCATTGCGCTCGTCCCTCTTCGTCGCTCATGTAGTCATCTCAGGCCTGATGCAGGGTGCAGCTATGCAATGTATTGGGTTGTAACATAAGTTCGTAGAGTTTTTTTTCACAAAGATTTATTTGAAAAAATAATAATCATAATAACAAATTATTTAGTAAACCAGTCGGGCCGCCCGGCTAACGCCAGGCTTCCTTCCTTCTTATGGGTTCGCCCAGCTATGCCGGTCGCTCCTTCTCCCTGTGAGAAATTCGTTATGCGTAAATAACACTTCGGATTCACCCTTTGCTTTGAAAGCTCTACACCCACAGTATTAGCTCCAAATTGGGAGCGATTTTTTCTATAAGCCAACCTCGTTGTGTTCAGAAGAACATCGTTTAATATCACAAAGGCGATGATTCAGAGAAAAAAGTAGTCAGAGACTTCATCGCGGCTGAGGCTACTATGTTAGCTACCATCAATGTTCCTCATACCATCATCAAGGGCTCTCCTCCTTCTTGGGGCAAAGGGACTTTGCCCGAAAAATATCGAATCAATGAAATTCCCCCTTTTTAATATGTTATTTCG